TACAAACATCACTCTGCTTCTCTAGCTTTGAGCAGGAGGTTCTCGGTGGGCCAGTACCAGTATCAGGAAGTCCACCTGTCATGGAGGCAGTACCTGTAGCTCTGGCTGTCCCAACAGTTTCAGTGGTGCGACCCATTATAGGAACCAACACCTACAGACAGGTTTGTGTGTTATAAAAGTATTGGTCTCGATGTGATGAATAAAAACAGCACCCTCTCTCGCTCACACACTCTGTGGTCGTTCTCAGGTCCAACAGACATTAGAAGCCAGAGCTGCAACTTTTGTTGGACCTCCACCACAAGCCTTTGTGGGACCAGGTAAAGACAAATGCTCACATGACAAGAGTGTCACCATCCACGCTGTGCTCACTCTGTCCTCTCTCTGTGCTCACTCTGTCCTCTCTCTGTGCTCTCTCTGTGCTCTCTGTGTGTTCTCTCTGTGTTCACTGTGTTCTCTCTGTGTTCACTGTGTTCTCTCTGCTCACTCTCTGCTCTCTCTGTGTTCACTCTGTGCTCTCCCTGTGCTCACTCTGTGCTCACTCTGTGCTCACTCTGTGCTCACTCTGTGCTCACTCTGCTCACTCTGTGCTCACTCTGTGCTCACTCTGTGCTCACGCTGTGCTCACGCTGTGTTCACTCTGTGCTCACTCTGTGTTCACTCTGTGCTCACTCTGTGCTCTCCCTGTGCTCACTCTGTGCTCTCCCTGTGCTCACTCTGTGCTCTCCCTGTGCTCACTCTGTGCTCTCCCTGTGCTCACTCTGTGTTCACTCTGTGCTCACTCTGTGTTCACGCTGTGCTCACTCTGTGTTCACTCTGCTCTCCCTGTGCTCTCTCTCTGTGTTCACTCTGCTCTCCCTGTGCTCACTCTGTGCTCACTCTGTGCTCTCTGTGTTCACTCTGTGTTCACTCTGTGCTCACTCTGTGCTCACTCTGTGCTCACTCTGCTCACTCTGTGCTCACTCTGTGCTCACTCTGTGTTCACTCTGTGCTCACTCTGTGTTCACGCTGTGTTCACGCTGTGTTCACGCTGTGTTCACTCTGTGCTCACTCTGTGCTCACTCTGTGCTCACTCTGTGCTCTCCCTGTGCTCACTCTGTGCTCTCCCTGTGCTCACTCTGCTCACTCTGTGCTCACTCTGTGCTCACTCTGTGCTCACTCTGTGTTCACTCTGTGTTCACGCTGTGTTCACTCTGCTCTCCCTGTGCTCTCCCTGTGCTCTCCCTGTGCTCACTCTGTGCTCACTCTGTGCTCACTCTGCGCTCACTCTGCGCTCACTCTGTGCTCACTCTGTGCTCTCTCTGTGCTCACTCTGTGCTCACTCTGTGCTCTCTCTGTGCTCTCTCTGTGCTCACTCTGTGCTCACTCTGTGCTCACTCTGTGCTCACTCTGCTCACTCTCTGCTCACTCTGCTCACTCTGCTCACTCTGTGTTCACTCTGTGCTCTCTCTGTGCTCTCTCTGTGCTCTCTCTGTGTTCACTCTGTGCTCTCTCTGTGCTCTCTCTGTGCTC